TCCTGACAGTGGTTACCCAGATTTGCACTCTCTCTCTGACAGATAGAAAAGCATTTCTTATTCCTGTCTCTGGGTCTCCTTGAGCCTATAGGTGTAGGGTTAAATGTGAGATTATCAGGTCACACGACAGAATCTCCACTGCCTTGGCAAGACTACTTAAACTGCCAGCCAAAGGCTAGAAAAGACCACAGGTGTTGTGATATGAGACACGCAGAATTGTTGAGATCTTAGGAACAGACATCTCTTCTTGTTACAAATGAGGGAGCCTGGATGAGGGAAGAACAGGGTGATGGCTAGTAACAGAAAACTCACAGGGGTGGCCTTGGGCAATTTCCAGTGTAAATAGGATATGAGAGTCACAGTCTCCCACTTTGTGGCCGAGTTTTAAACAGCTCTGTTACTTGTAATATGTTTAGAAATGAACAAGCGTATTTGTGTTGTACTTATAAAGAGATCATTAATAGTAAAATATTCTTGTATAAAAAATTGTCTTTTGGTGTGCACACTCTAGCTTCTTTCCTTATTAGCATTTTTATTTAATACATAAAGACAATATGGTGTCACAATATGACACAAAAGCCTTGTGCCATCTGTTCCCTTATCAGATTCATGTACCTTTTCTACTGCTTTCCCAGTTGTCTTTTCCCTATGCTATGGGCAAAATTATGGGCCCCCCAAATTCATATGTCCCAACCCCAGTGTGATGGTGTTTGGCAATGGGGCCTGTGGAAGGAAATTAGGCTTGGATAGAGTTGTAAACAGAGGTCTTCATGATGGGATAATGGCCTTATAAGAAGACACCCCAGGGCCTGATGGCAGTACAGTGGTAAACATGATGCTCTGTAAAGCTGATTCACATGGGAAGGTTCTGGGTTCACATCCAGAGGCCTCCCTGAGTATGTGTGTGCCCATGATCCAGGGCTTGCTGAAGCTGGGGCAGATGAAGGTCCTGAGACCTTGTTTTAATTTCTCTCTATGTCTCTTGCTGATGAAAAAAGTAAAATTAAAAAAAAAAAAAAAAAGCCACCTGCCTCTAGACCAGTAATAGAGCCTCCATTAGAACCTGGCCAGCCTGACACCTTGATCTGGAGCTTCCAGCCTGTTGACTGTGAGAACTAAATTCCTGTTGTTTCAGCGCCCCCGTCTGCGCTGTTTTGTATTTATTTTGGCGGCCTGAGCAAAAACTTCTACTCTTCTCCCTTCCAGATGGATGACGTAGTGTCCGAGTGACGGTGATGGTCTATGTAAGGCCACCCGGTTGCATTTTTTGCTGTTTTTCATTAAAATTATGTGAACAAAGGGTTGTATCTGTATTAAATTATCCAAACAAAACCAAAACAAATCTTTTTGACCAAGTTCACCTTATGCACAGCACTAAAGTCCTTTCTTCATTGTGCAATTCAGTCTAAGATAACTTCTGAGAGGAGAGGAAAAGATTGTAAAAGAGGTCAAAAGAAAGAAGATGACAGATGGCATGTCCAAGAGAGAGGCTCTCGGTATACCCCTCCATCCCCTAGCCTCACCTCTGCTTCCCCATCCTGCTCACAGTTTCTCCCCTCACCTCCCTAATGCCACCTTGCTGCCACTCCCCACCCTTTCTTTCCACTCCTATTCAAACGCACTTTAACTCCTAAGAACCCACTCTCCCAAACCTGGATTTCCATGCCTCCTTCTACCCTCTGGGGCAACAGAAAAAAAATCTCTATGTCAATGGTTGGAGACGAGGATTCTCTATCCCAAGTACTATCTGTGCAAGTTAACTAGAACCATCTGCAAGTAATACATCCACCTGGGTCTCAAAGAGTGCTAATTTGAAAGCAAATGCTACCCTATCACTTTCCGATAGAAATATAATGAAAGTCACAAATGCAAGTCACATTCTTCAAAATTCCTATTAGCCACTTTTTGTTTTTGGAGGGGTGGCTAGAGGCACATATACTTGCCAGAGAGAGACAGACAGAGAGAAGGAGAAGAGAAAGCACGCGCCATCGGGAATGGTCATACTACAATCCCTTCTCCTCCACCTTTTCCTCCTTTCAGGATTTTGAGTGCACATGCACAAATGCCCAGAGTTTCTCAAGCCACTAGGTCCAGGATTCAAAACAAGCAGTTGGTCATGTGGGATCCACTGGGATCCAGTGGCCTTACCATCAGGTCATGGAACCAGCCCAGCCACATTTTTATTTTGTTTATATATTTATTTTGCTACAGGCCATGTGCATGCACTAGCCAGAGAAAGACAAAAAGAGACAGAAAGTGAGAAAGTGAGAAAGTGAGAAGCACCTCTCGGCCATACTCAATCCCTTCTCCTCCATCCTCCTCTCAGGATTTTGGACATGCACACACAGTCAGTGTTTTGTTTTTAGCCACTGGGTCTGGGACGTGTGGGATCCGACCACTATGCCACAGGTTGGTCCACCAGCCACATTTTTTCTTGTCTGTTGATGATAACGTGTATGATACCTTCAACTGGACTGGTGTGAAGTGTATTCATGTTGGGTAATTCATTTTACAAGCTGTAGTGATATACAATGATTGAATGTATAAAATAAATTAGAATAAGGAATAAAGTAAATGAGTAAAATTAATTTCAAAAATATGTCTAACGCAGTATGTCTAAAATATTATCATTTAAAGCATAATTAAAATGAAAATTTTAATAAGATATTTCACATATTTTCAACCTAAATCTTCCAAATCAAATACGTATTTTACGCTTACAGCACATCACAATTCAGACAAGTGACAGTCAAGTGTTCAATGGTCACACGTGGCTAGTACCTACTGTGTTGGACAGCACAGCTCTGGCCAACGAAAGGGAAGGTGAGGCCCTGGCATTTCAGGAGACAAGGAAGGCTTGCCTTATGGATTCTCCTGGTCAGGGAAGCACATGCTTATTACAGAGGCAATAAACTAAATGATCCTTAGGAATATAAAATTGTTTTTTATTGTTCTTTAACTTAAGAGCAGTACTCAAATTACCACCTCCTCATTATTAGAATTTTAAATATTCAGAACAAAAATTTTCCCACGAATTCTTAAAGCTCAATAAATTGTAGCCATCATTTTGTTAAGCCAGAAGCATCCTGCCCACCATGCAACATGGTGCGCAGGCTCTCACCCCATGAGCCCTTGGAAATGACAGCCGGTTAGTTTCACTTGCCAGGAAGTGGGCCATCCCTTGCTTACATGCACTGCCAACTCAGAGCTGCCCCTTTTTGGCAGGTGCGTGGGTACACAGGAGTAGCACACTTTGTATCTGGGGCTAAGAATAGCAGTTCTCTCGGGTCCAATTGTGGGTTTGTTTTCACTGGGGGTTAAGTAAATGCTGGACCTTCCGTTAGAGCGATCGACTGCTGAGACCATGTGTCTGTTCATTCACGCGCTATAGGCTCCATTATTCCCAAAATGACACCCAAGTCCTCACTGTTTATGCCTAGGTCTATCTTTTTTATAGCTCGGAGAAATTTAATGGTGGAAATTTCAAAATTAGAATGATAAGGAACATAGTACTCTAAAGTCTAGTAAAATAGTTACTTTAAGGAGCTACATTTTTTGATGGGTAAGATTTCTTCTCAAAGACTTTCTGCTGCCAGATGCTAAACTTTTCTCTCCTTGTCAGGGACTCTCTGCCTCCTTACCCAAGCCTTTAGCCTCATCTGAGCGGTCAGCTGATAGAAACTGATGAAGACTAAACTTTCATGTCTGGAAGTATTTGTAATTTTATTAAGAAATGCTGACCAGCCTTCCGACCTAACAAAAAGTTAATCTCTATGGTGATATCATGTTAATAGAGTTTTCCTGGAAAATTATACTCCTGCCAACTCTAATGTGGACTTGGGTTAAGAAACTACTCTTTGCTTGGGACCAGCAGTTGGTGTAATGGTTATGTCACTGGACTCCCAAGTAGTCGGTCGTGGTTCGAGTCCCGAACCTGGTGGCTTAAACTCATGCCGGGCGCATGTGTGTGTTTGTCCAAGATCCTGAGAGGAGAATGGAGGAGAAGGGATTGTGACGTGGCCATACCCCCCTGGGGGGGGGGGGGGGG